ACTAGAAGAAAAAGTGCGTGTACGTGGTAGAGCCATGCTGCAGCTATATTAGTAGTATAGTTGTACCACGAATGGGTCGGCTCGTCCGGGGAAGGACCACGCTCTCACAGAATACCAGCATAAAATAGCAGTTTCACGCTGCTGTGAGCGTAGAGAACCGGAGACCCTTTTTACTGGAAACGAAGCACCCCATCGTAGTTTTCAGGGGTGACAACGCATCTGTATTTTGATTCGTAATCGAGGGTAAGTATAGATGTTTATGGGCCACAGCAACCACATACCATCAGGTGGACTGTGCTCGTTTATCACCCTTATCCTATTAAAAAAAAATTATTAATAAATTTCGATGGCTATATCAATATTACGGTTGATTATACTTGGTGTATCCGAACTGTCCAAATAATTTACAAATTATACGAGGGCGACACTGAAAATTTCGGGAATCAAGGAAGTGACACAACATTACTATTTAAAAATGTATTTATTGCTTTTCGAAGTATTCTCCGCGAAATTTGACACATTTTTCCATACGATGGAACCAATCATTGAAGCAACCATTCCATTCGGAAGTTGGGGTCTCCAAAATGGCCGTTTTGTAGGCGTCCACAGCTTCTTCAGGTGATGAAAATCTCTGTCCACGCAATTTATTCTTTATTTTAGGGAAAGTATAGAAATCATTAGGGCTTAGGTCGGGGCTGTACGGCGGATGTTTTCTTGCTCTAAAAACTCTTTTGTTCTGAGTGCGGTGTGAGAACTCGCATTGTCGTGATGGAGGATGATGCGGCGGTTGCAGTTCTCTTTACGGAGTTCAGAAACGACCTGTGGCAAACAAATGCTAGCATACCATTCTGCATTAACCGTTCTTTGTCCCTCAAGAGGAATAGTCGTAACATGGTCGGTTTTGGAGACAAACGTGGCCACCATTTTTTTTTTTTGCAACACTCCATGAACGAACAATTTTTGTATGGCTTTAACTCATTTTCGAACACCCAAACTCGTGACTGGTTTTTTGTTTCGGGTTCGTACGCGTATATCCAGGATTCGTCACCTGATACGATGTTGTATACAGCATTGGAGGATCCTGCGTGGAATCTTTCGAGAGTTCTGACGCACCAAGTAACGCGAGCCGCTTTTTGCTCTTCACAGAGCGAATGCGGTATCCATCGGGAAAACATCTTTTAATCTAATCTATATAAACATCTAATTGTTCATGCAAGATTATTTGTATTTGACTCATGCCAATGTCTAAAGTTGCCTGAATTTCGCGGTATGTCACATGTCGATCTTCCTCAATCAGCTTACGCACAGCATCAACGTTTTATTGGGTGACTGCAGTTTTTGGACGACCTTGACGAGGATCATCACTGAGCTTGATACGTTCACGTTGAAATTCAGCAAGCCAGCGATAAATTGTGGTTTTGGATGGGGCTTCATCACTAAATGCAGAAATCATCCGGTCAACACACTGTTTTTGTGTTAAATCACTTCATAAGTCATAATAAATCATCGCTCTTGAATTTTCTCGAGTCAATTCCATTTTCTCAACGACTAAACAAGTTTGACAAAACCTTGTGACAAGACCGAGAATCTTTTTTTAAATAAATAAATGGTATTCGATTTTTAAAACAAAGGACTTTTCAATTAAAAAAAAATTAATATGACAGGGACAGTGGAAATATTCCATTCCCGATACTTTTAGTGCAGCCTAACCCTAACTTACTGTCGATATTACTTGATAAATGCTTTTGTATTTTTGAAGAATTCAACAGATAAGGACATAGTGAAGCTGATATTACTTGATAGATGTTTTCGTAGAGAGTTAAAGCTGTACGCACATATGTCCGCGCCGTACGCGCCAAATTTTAGAATTCGTTGTATCAAATCATATGAAACCTCGCACATTACACCCGCGCCGTACGCGCCGAGTTTTATAAAATGCGGTAGGTATACGATATCGAACGACAAATGCTGATGACGTCATATAACGCGGCGCGTTCGGTGCGTGCATATATTTTTTTTTGGAGTTTATGGCCTGGTATCTAGACCTTTAGGCCAAGTCTTAAGTATTTTTATTCGGTTTATTGTAATTTCCCCACTCCTTCACAATATGTTGATGCGTCACATTGTGCAGTTCTTGGGAGATTTTGGCGGCAACTTGATCCAGCAGACAGCTGATAGTTGGCGATGGTATCTAAAGGTGCCTATGCAAACAAACAGCTTATCTTGAGAATCCATCACCATCAGAGCACTTGTTTCACTGTTTCCACTAATAGTTCACATGCGTAGACACTTAATACACAAAATCGCAACACTTTTACATATCAAAGTCCACTTCAAACCATTATTTAAACAATAATACAGGAGCAGCAAACCGCCGCCGGTCAATTTCCCGCCAAAACCCGCGTGCTGATACTCAGTGTTGTCTAATGTTGCCAACTTAGTGGATTTTCCATTAGTATTTTTATAACTTTTAATTAATTCGTAATTAATTATACATAATTTGTTTTTTTTTTTTTACATTGATTATCAATATGAATACTTAGTGATAAATTATTTACATACTGATTTAAAAAAAAAGGTTAAATTTAATTCAAAAACCTAATTATACCTGATTACTTAATTATCAATAAAAATACAACAAGTCTTTTTTTCTGGTTCAATTGGTCTTTTAAATCTTGAGTTTTCCATAGAAAGATATGGTTTTAGTACATGTAGCAATTCTTGAAGTTTCTTGCATGTTAAATGCAAATATCTAAAAAATCGTTCATCATCACCTAATAAATATTTAAATAAAGTATATACCCTTCATATTCTCCATACAATTTTAAATTAATTTTATGAATCCAGAATCTTCTTTTTCTCCGAATTATTTTTTCTTCTTCCTATGCCAATAAGCAGGCTATTACTAAATTTCTTTCCATAGTGATTTCGAGCGATCAATTTCAATGTACCATTTTACACCAGTGATTGGAAAAAACTACAAAATTTGTTGGTAATACTAAAAAGATTTGCGGACGATGCGTACGGGCAAATGTGCGAGGCCATCAGTAAAACTCGGCGCGTACGATGCGGACATATGTGCGTTCAGCTTAATAGTAGCCATGGTCGTTTTAATTATTATTATTTGCACTTTACTATGCCAAGTTTTACCTAAAAGCCTAGGCCTTTCATACTTTTATTCATGTATAAACCCAATACACCTAAATAAAATAAATGCAATCAGCTGCATCTAGTTGCAGCTGCCTTAACCCAGGTGTACAAAAGAAATTCTTATATAGGAAGGTAGGTGACATAATTGACTATAGAAATAAGACATTTGAAGTTGAAACATTAAAAGAGTTAATAAATGCATACACAATTTACCAGCCCCGAGGTTAAATCATGGCAGGCTTATTTTTAAGCAGATAATGAATGTAATCAAATCCCACCCAACTATTAATTAATATATGCCTCATGCAGCAAAACTTCATACCAACAAAATACTAGTGAGCAGAACTACCACAAGATTATTAAAAATAATTATAACTTAACAAAAAGTAAAAACCGACTTCAAATTAAGTTATTTATTTTCTACCCTTAGGAGCAGTTTTTTCTCCAAATTTATATGGGATATCCCTTTTCTCAATCTGTGAAGATATCAAATGAAATTTCTTAAACAATAGTCCAATATGAAACTGTTGCCCCTATTGTCTACCCTTGGGGACAAGTTTTTCTTCAAAATTTAATGGGACTACCCTTAAGGTGTAGTCTATTTAATAAAACAAGAATCATTAAAAATCGGTTCACAATCAGTGAAGATATCTCATAATGTACATACAAAAAAAAGAACATACAGTCGAATTGAGAACCTCCTTCTTTTTAAACTCAGTTTAAAATTAGGAAAAAAATTAGATTTGCTTGTTAAATTATTATATAAATCAAGTTTTAATATTAAAAGCTAATGTATAATTATTATATTTAAGGTTGATAGTGCAAAATAAAAAAACCTAAGGTTAGCAACATTTTAATATATATTTATTCAAATTAATTCAATCATACATTACAGAATACTTGGATTTTTATGTACGTTCTTTAAATTATAGTAATAATAATTACAAAATAAAACTTACTGATGTTAATCATTACATACATATAAAGAATTTTTTTTCATTCGCTCTTTCAACGCCATATTACATGGACCATAGAATTTTTATGTATCATTGTAATCTTTACCATAGTTTGAGCAACACTCCACATATTTAATTGAAAAATATCGAATATATTGTGCTCTATGCTCATAAACACCGCGTTAAAGCTATGTGGACAATTTTTTAAATTAACTATAATTAAATGCACCATTAGAACCTACTTTTCCGTTTAATGTTCATATACCTCACATAACACTCAGTTATGCAAGCAATATTCCACAACTAAGGCAAATAATACTGACAATGAAATATATAGGTTGGATGGACTTATAGTTGTGATTCGACATAATTACTTTGGGATGTGATACATTAAAATAAATTTCTTTTAATTGACACATGTTGACAAAAGAATTATGAAAATTTATAATATTGCTTACACAACTATCTATTTGCAAATGTTACTCTAATGAAACTCAAGACAAAATTTTAGTCCTCAGGAGTACTCCTACCACCAAAATCCACTATGGACCTAAAAACAGAATCTACATACAGGTTCTGGTCAGAGTTAATCATTTACTAGTGGTAATACTACCAACAGAAACCAATGTTTGTCTCATACCAAACGGACATCTATTGCAAGAATATATAATGCAACAAATATTTAATATGCAGCAATCAGTATTTTGTAATAAAAGTAACAAAACGCGTAAAATTCAACAGTTACAATAGCGATTTCTCTATATACTCATAGATAAATACGCGCCGGGTACACAGCCCTTGGATCCAGTAAACATTTGAACAAGATTTATTCTTATGAGAATATGTACAGAGGCGTGGAGCGTCCGCTGCTGCTCAGAGCGCAGCGGCGGGACATCATTGGCTCTTCAACTCCTTACCGATTGTGTAGGATACGAGACGGGCCCAATCGATCTTACTACGTGTTACTGGCAATTGCCTTCTTAGTGCTTTGAATGTGGTATCGCTCATTGTCTTGTAATTATCTGAAATGGCTGTTTGATACGCATTTTCCGCATCACACACTAATCGAACAAATTCTTTTGCTGTTGCAGTTTCCCCTGTTGCTACTAAAGGCGCGCGAACTTCTTTGGAGCTCACCAACTGTACATTACCGTCTTCATAATAATGTACTTGAACGCGCAGCATACCACGTAGTTCCGCTGCACCAGCACCTACAGTCAGCGACCAAACGGAGCGCCACCGGCCGTTCCAATAGTTTTTCGGCTGGAACTGATGGTCTTCGATACACGCCACAAGAGATACGGTATTAGAGTCAAGAGCTCGGCCTACGACTAGACTGGCACCGTGTTTGTAATGAGCAGCCACGTAAGCTGTCAACTCTTCATCCAATGCCGCTCGCCAAGGCTCAGCCACTCGGTCCGGTTCATACGGTTCGTACTCCGATGCTTCTTTGCGTAAATGATCATACTTAAACGATCTTTTGGAGCGTGGATCAAAAAATCTGCCACCACCGAGTTCATTATGGTCAGTTATAAGCGTGTGAAGTTCAGAACCTTCAAGGCGCACGGGCGTGAGCTGATCTTTATTGTACTGCGCGAATGCTCCACTGGCGCCTTCCTTCAGTAGACTATCATTGTTTAGAAGTACTCTCACGTCATTGAATACTTCGTTAAATTCGCCCGGTGGTGAATGTAGTATGAAATCTGAAACAATTTTCACTTTTTCCTGATCACTAATCACTTCGTCACCGTCCGCCGCCATTTTTGATACTTTGACTTTTTGACACTGACACAGATAAAAAATAAATTTGAAACAAGACCATTTTTTAAAGAATTTTAACTTGGATGCTTGGTTTTTAAGCCATGTCTTCATTTATCTCAGTAACAAGTGATAATAATCCTATACAGTACACTACTTCACGATATGTTAATGAGTCACATTGCGCAGCCCTTGGGAGATTAGACGGCAACTTGAGCCAGCAGATAGTTGGATAGTATCACATGGCGTCTAAGCAGACACCTTATCTTGAGATTCACATCACCATCTTGTTTCACCGTTTTCACTAATAGTTCACATGCGCAGACATTTAATACACAAAATCACACCTTTTCTACATACATACATACATTGAAGTTCGTAAGTTCGTTATTGTGTACAGACGTGTCATATAGAAATTAAAATAAATAAGTATGTGCTTAACCGTGACCTCCTTATAACAATATCGGTAGTAACTGTAACACACTTTAGTTATATTTGTGTTTGTGATTTTGTTGAAATGTTTTAGCTTAATCTAGAATAGGTACTAAAATGGAGAACAGTCCCTTCAACCGGAGTGCCAGGACTACTCGCACCCCGCCTCCATCAACCCCACCCACTGTCATGCGGACACCCACTTCAAGCGAACCAATCAAAACAATTCCAACTCCTGAGTTGCAGCATTGAATGACAACCATTGACCTGTGCCTTAACGAGGTATGCTCCATCACTACAGAAGGAAAACTTAACTCGGATCAAAAAATGCGCATCAGGTCGCTTTGTCGAAAAGTAAGCCACGGTACATCACTATCTCTGCAGAACCAACTTGACCTGCCCCAAAAGCTGCAGGAACTCAAGAATAGTATCGAAGAGTCATAAAACCGGACTCTGGAACTACTTTTGCGGACATGGTCAAAAAAGGTGGCCAAACCCTCATTCGCCCAAACAAACTTAGTACCCTAGCAATTTATCCGAGGGACAAGTCCAAATCCAGTGATGACACGAAGTGCCTCTTACAAAAAATAATATCCTCAGAAGAACTCAAACTACATGTCCGGGGCATGAGGAAGGTCAAAAATGGGGGAGATATAATTAGCGCTGAGACAATAGAAGATATCGACAAATTAAAGAATTCCAAGAAGCTTGTATCTTCTGGCCTTACCATGGAAGAGCCGACTAAACGACGTCCAAGGATTGCATTTGTTGGTGTCCCTGTAGCCCTCCCGGACAAAGAAGTGTTCGGGTGCATCTTCGAACAAAATATTGTCGATAAATTTCCCAATGCCACGCGTGAGTCCGTCCTGGCAACAGTCAAACTGAGCCATAAATCAGGTAAGAAATACCTTCCTACTTGTAATTACATTGTCGAAGTGCCACCTAGTATGAGGAAGGCCCTTATCAATCTGGGACGAATATATATTAATTGGACCTCATGCCCAGTCAGAGACTTTACAATAGTAACAAGATGCTTCAACTGCCAGCAGTTTGGGCATTTAGCCAAATTTTGTCGGGAAAGTAGCCCTACATGTAACTACTGTGGAGAGCTCGGGCATTCCTTTAAGGAATGTAATAACAAAACGCATGCCCCCGTTTGCGCGACGTGTAAACGTTTTAAAAGAAAATGCGACCACAAAACTGGTGATGAAAGCTGTCCAGCACGTAAATTCGCAGAGGACAAATATATCAACTCCATAGACTATGAGGGCGCCTAAGAGCGTCGCGTATTATATTATTTACTTAGCTCTTAAACACTAGTTTTAGTTTATCTTTAAGCTTAAGTATGGCGAATCAATTACTCAATGACCTAGACAAGTTTTCTGTATCTGACGCTAAAACATGTAATGTTGATGACTGGAAACACTTCCTTCCACGTCCTGAAAATAAGTTAATCTTACTTACACAAAATAGTAGAAGCATAAATCGGAATATAACCGTCTTTGAAGTTCTGTTGCATAGACTGGATATAAAATGTGATATTATTATCCTTACAGAATGTTGGCTATCAAACCTCCCACCCCACCTACCGATTCTAAATGGCTATTCTTTACACAAAACCGAGAAAAACATTAATCAAAATGACGGTTTAGTAATCTATATTAGTAATAATTTTTTAGGAGCTGTCTCCATATGCGTCTCTACGGGTGACCATAATGAAAGATTGCATAACTTAATGACATATTTATTGTAGAAGAGCGTGTAATACAGTTGACGGGCAACTAGCTACTGTCTGACTGACTGAAAATCTTAGTACTAAGTAGTGAGGTACAATATTATTAAGTATACATATATATGGTAGCTAGATACAACATTACTAATTATGCATGTGTGTGCGCAGCACACCTACATTACTTCCCCCTTTACAAAAAGAATACAAAAACTTAAAACTATATAATAAACACTTGTTAATGCGCTGAAGCGCAGGGCTGTACGGAGATCCCTGTGAAGGGAGCGGCTGCCGCGGCAGGCGCGGGCGCGTGCTGCAGACTGGCGCTAGAGGCGCTTATCATCTGACCCATATTCTGGCCCGACATTGGAACGCTGGCCATGAACACTTGATGGCGAAGCCAGTTTTTGAACTTCTTATTAAACTTCATCCAAATAGTGTACAATATTATTGCTCCCATAAAACTGGCTAAGTATCACATATAACCATATTTGAAAATTATCCACTTTATTCTCTATAGTATTCTGAGCCTGAGAAACAATAACTGGTTTTTCTTGATAATTGCCCATAGTAAAAATTGTAAAACTTTTAGCACTAATGCTTCTGCAAAGGAAATATTTCAAATGAAACGAAATACATTATAACTAAACTAACTACCTAAACATAATTGAAACTGCAGTACACGCAAAATAACGCAAAATACAAAACACAATACATCTAAAATTACATTCAATTTGTATTTGCAATGTAACTTGAATAGTCTGAATGAAAATATTCTGCACCTAACAATGCAAATAATACTTTCACATCCATACTAGCTAACTTGAATATTATTTAAACATGTAATTATATTGCATATATAATACATTTTATGTTAACACTAACTTATATTAAATCGTGAAGGTAATTTAACAATGCGACCACTTCGCGTTGTTTTCACGCTTATCGGGTTGCTAGGGCCGGGCGACGACGATGTCACCGGTGTGGGCGGCGGTAACGCGAACCGTACATGCGCAGGCACCACATCCGCTGCGTTGTCAGCGTTACTGTCGCTTGGCGTTGTTATGTTACCATCGCATTCCTTTAACACATATGCAGGCTTTAATCTGTCAATAGAAATATGTACCTGCCTATCGGGTAATTGAATTAGGTAAACTTTTGAAGCCCTTTTTATCACGCGATATGGACCGTCGTAGGGTGGTTTCAAAGGTTTACGTATTGAATCGTCCCGAACAAAGACATATTCACAGTTACGTAAGTCTTTGTGCACAAAAAAACTTTGACAGTTACGTGAATTGTCGGATGTAGGCTTATAACTACGAATAGTATCTCTAATCTTATCTACTAAACAATAGTCGTTGACATTACAGTTGTTCGAAGAATTGCCATAAAAGTCTCCTGGTAGACGTAAGTTTCGTCCGAAAGTTAACTCGGCGGCGCTAACCCCTGAATCGCTGCGGCCGGCCGCGCGAAGCCCCAGTAATACCGTGGGTAGCTCTTCCACCCAAGATCCATGTGACAGGCGAGTCGAAAGTGCTGTCTTTAAAGAACGATGCCAACGTTCGACTGCGCCATTGCTTTGCGGGTGATAAGGAGTAGTTCGAATTCTTTTAACCCCCAACATTTTTAACAGCTGGTTAAAAAGACTACTCTCAAACTGGCGACCTTGGTCGCTAGTTAACTTCATCGGGCAACCGTAACGACAAATCCAACCCTCATATAAATGTTTGGCAACAGTTTCTGCCGTAATGTCGCGTAACGGAAATGCTTCGGCCCACCTAGTTCTCCTGTCAATTATCGTGAGTAAGTATCTATAACCATCTGGTGAAATCTCAAGAGGGCCAACGATATCGATGTGTACATGCTCGAAACGATCTACTTCCGAAAACTTAGTCAAATTCGATACCGTATGTCTGTTAACTTTAGAACGTTGACATAGTATGCACGTTTTTGCCCATAAAGAAACATCGCGATTCATACTCGGCCAGAAATACTTTTTAGCTAACATTTTTCGTGTAGACCGAATTCCAGGATGGCTCAAATTATGCAAACTATCAAAAGCTAGGCGTCGAAACTTTTCCGGTAGGTACGGACGAGCTATATTGGTAGACATTTCACAAAAAATAGGCTTGTCTAACATAGGTATAACTAGTTCTTTCAACAAAATATTATCGGTATTTAAACCAGACATAAAATTCGTAATATAACTATCGCTACGCTGTTCATTTGCAATGTCATCGAAATTCAACGCAGTTGGCATAATCACGGCTTCGACGCGTGATAAGGTGTCGGCTACAATGTTATTCTTACCGGTTATATGTTTTATATTTGTAGTGAACTCGCTTATGAAAGCTAAATGTCTCGTTCTCCGAGGCGTTTCGCTTTCATCGCGTCCTACCTTTTGAAATGCAAAAGTTAAAGGTTTATGGTCCGTATACACGGTTATTTCTTGACCTTCAAATAATTTCCGAAAATGTTTTATAGCTAAGTATATAGCGAGCAACTCGCGATCATAGGTGCTATATCGCTGTTGGGTGGTGGTCAATTTTTTTGAGAAATAACCCAATGGTTTCCAGATATCTCCTTCCTTTTGTTGCAAGACTGCTCCCACGCATGTATTAGATGCGTCAGTCATTATAGCGAGTGCGGAATCCACTCTAGGGTACGTCAATGTAGCGGCCTGTGTGAGACCTGCCTTACACTGCGTAAATGCTTCGTTCGCACTATCATTCCAGACGATAAGAGTTTTATCATTTTTCTTTGAGCTTTTAAGATATTTATTTAATTCTGTTAGATATAAAGTAGCGTTGGGGAGATGAGATCGATAAAAATTAACCATGCC